TGGCTCAGACTGAACTGGAACTCCACACTATGGCAAGAACAATCTCTCTAAGCTGTAAATATGTCCTATCAGTTATCAAGTTGCACTTCTCAGTGGCTTCACCATCACCTAAAGGTAAAATCAAGTCCCTTGTCACGTCATATGAGCTTCTTCAATATCTGGTCCATGTCCATATCTCCAGAGCTTGGACTCTGGGAACAGAAAGACCTGATCCTTATCTCAAATATTCCATGTACTAGCTATATGATTTTAGGCAATTATTCAGTTTTCTCACTGCAAAATAAGGACAACCATTGGGGTTATTTGGAGGATTGAATGGGCTAATGCAAATAAAACATTTAGCCTTGTGATTGACACTCAGTAAGTTAAATTGTAGTAATCAGACAAACGAAGTAAACGGATAGTCCATATTCTTGGATAGGAAGACTCACCATTGTCAAGATGTCAGTTCTTCCCAACTTGATCTATAGAGTCAATGTAATCCCAGTCAAAGTCCCAGCAAGTTATTTTGTAGATCTTGACAAACTAGTTTTAAAGCTTATGTGGAGAGGCAAAAGACCTAGAGTAGCCAACACAGTATTGAAGGAGAACAAAGTTGGAAGACTGACACTACCCAACTTCAAGACTCACTGTAAAGTTACAGTAATCAAGATAGTGTGATATTGGTTAAAAAAATAGACAAATAGCTCAATGGAACAGAATAGAGAACCCAGAAATAGACCCACATAAATATAATCAACTGATCTTTGACAGAGGTACAAAAGTAATACAATAGTGCAAAGATAATCTTTTCAACAAATGGCGCTGGAACAACTGGTCATCCATATGCAAGACAAAAATGAATGTACACACAGACTTTACACTCTCCACAAAAATTAACACAAAATGTATTACAGACCTAAATGTAAAATGCAAAACTGTAAAACTCCTGAAATATAACATAGATAACAAAATCTAGATGCCCTTGGGTTGGCAATGACTAGATATGACACCAAAGGTATGATCCATGAAAGGACGAATTGATAAGCTGGCCTTCATTAAAATTAAATTTTGTGCTCTACAAAAGACACTGTCAAGAGAATAAAAAGACAAGCCACAGACTGAGAGAAAATATTTGCAAAAGACAAATCTGATAAGAACTGTTATCCAAAGAACTCTTAAAATTCCACAATAAGAAAAACAAGCCAATTAAAATATGGGCAAAAAAAATATAAAAGCCTAGGTTGTTCCTAGGCTTTTGTTCTCACCAAAAAATAATAATAAATTAAAAAAAAAATATATATATATATATATATATATATGCCAAAGACCTCACCAAAGAAGATATTTGGATGGAAAATAAGTATATGAAAAGACGCTCTGCATCATATGTTATCAGGAAAATGCAAATTAAAACAACAATCAGGTACCACGACACACCCATTAGAGTGGCCAAAATCTGGAACACTGACAACGCCACTGTTGGTGAGGACAAGGAGCCATAAGAACTCTCTCTCGTTCACTGCTGATGGGAATGCAAAATGGCACAGCCACTTGGGAAGGTAATTTGGCAGTTTTTAACCAAACTAAACTTACTCTCACCATATGACACAGCAATCAGGCTCCTTGGTATTTACCCACAGGAATTGAAAACTTATGTCCACACAAAAACCTGTGCATGGATCTTTACAGCAGTTTTATTCATCATTGTCAAAACTTGGAAGCCACCAAGATGTCCTTCAGTAAGTGAGTGGGTAAACTGTAGTATACCTAGACAACAGAACGTTATTCAGCGCTAAAAAGAAATGAGTTATCAAGCTATGGAAAGACATGGAGGGATGCATATTACTAGGTAAAAAAAGCAAATATAAAAAGGCTACCTACTGTACGATTCTAACTACATGACATTCTGAAAAAAATCAAAACTATGGGGACAATAGAAAGATCAGTAGTTGCCAGGGATTGGGGTGGGGAGAGAGGGAGGGATGACTAGGTGGAGCACAGAGGATTGTTAGGGCAGTGAAAATAGTCTGTATGATACCATAATGATGGGCACATGTCAAACATTCGTCCATATCCATAAACTGTGCACCACCAAGAGTGAACCCTAATGTAAACTTTGGACTCTGGGTGATTATGACGTGTCAGTGTAGGTCCATCAGCTGTAACAGCTGGACCACTCTGCTGGGGGCGTGTTGATAGTGGGGGAGGCTGTGCATGAGTGCAGACAGGTGTCATATGGAAAATCTCTATAACTTCCTCTGTTTTGCGATGAACCTAAAACTTCTCTAAAAAATAAAGCCAATTAAAAAAAACAAAAACCTGCCGTGGTGGGCATAATGGTTGTAGTCACAGTAGTAGCAGCAGTGATATTGTTGCTACTGTTGCTAACAGCCTTTTCCTCGTAGCCTTCATTTCTTCCTTAACCAAAACCTTGACATTCCCAGAAAACACGGTGCTTTCTTTAATGCCTCCATGCCGTTTCACTTTTGTTCTCACTACTTAGCCTGCCTGCTCCTGCTACATCTGTGCCCTTCTTCCCCTGAAAACCTCCTCCTCATTCATATTCAAGTTTGAGAGGAGGCTTCAACACCCGTATGAAGCTGTCTTCGCTCTCCCAGGTGGACTTTGGTATCTGCTCCTTTAGACGCCCACTGCCTCCTTCCTCAGACTGACACTCCAGCAGTGACCTCATGGTACCGTAATTGTTTGCAGGCCTGTCTCCTCTGCATTCACAGCAATGCAGAAATCCAGCCCCTGTGCTTTGCTTTGAATGCAGTGCCTTGCACAGCATTAGGGTGCAGTGGGTGCTCAGTAATCACTAATTGAATGATTGCATTCAAGGCATTGTAATATGAATAGAGAAGCACATAAATATGTACACAGTTGGTGAAGAACAGAATAATTTTTGTCCTAGAATGCTCTCCATCTCTTGAAGCCTGGCCGATGTTCTGCCGCTTCCATGAAGTTTTTCCCAACACCTCAGGTGTCATCTGTGCTACTCTTAGTAACCTCCTGAGTGACATTGGATTGTACATTGTCCTATAGCGTTCTGTAATGATTTCATTTCTGAAGCTTGTTTTCCCAACAAGACTGAAAGCTCCCGAAACCCTACATTTCATAGAATCGAGAATGCTTATAGCTCACCAGAAGAGCAACAGGCATACGGATGGTGCCTCCTAGGGACGCCAGAAGGTTGACTGCCATCATTAAGCCAGGCCAGTTCTAGATATCAGTACCTCAAGTATCAATTTGGAGTTTTGTGATCACAAGAAAAAGATGAGCTGTAAATCTCTACAGCCATACTAGGAATACATAAGCATAATGTTTGCCAATCACCACAATTAATCACCTTCAGCATAGTTATTGTATTCATGTTAATTCTTCCTCCATAAAAAAATAGGTTAAAAACCTTAGGCATGGCTGACCACTACACTTCTGTCCCTCACTTCTTTTCCTGCACCATTTATTTATCCCATTGTCTGTCTGACACCATCCTTGCCTCTGCTCTGTTAGAAGGTTTATGTTAAACCCTCTCTCTGTAGTTGCTTCGAAGTGTGTGTGTGTGCAGTCTTCATCCTACCTAAGTAGCTCCCTGGGCTGTCGCCCTCTCAGATAACTCCAGCCACTCCTTTTCCAAGTATTGATGAAATGTGAAGACGTTTGTAGGACACACACTGAAGGTCCTCCTATAATCACCAGGAATAGTCTCTCTTATTCTAAATAAGTGTGTACACTTGCCTTGCAACACACACACACACACACACACACACACACACACACCAAGCTGGGATGGCAGCGGTGTAGAGAGCTGGGGCTTGGGGTAGGAAGAAAATAACTTCCAGGTTGAGAACTACCTAGAAAAGTTTCCCCTACCGACCTTGACTCTGTTACTTTCTGTGTTTCCTAACAAACTCTCCCTTCCCCCCATGAAAACAGTCTAGGTTTCCTGTTTCCCCCTTCCATGCCCGTCATATGAGGGTTACCCCAGCACAGGAGCAAGCGCAGGAGGGGTCCACAAGCCACACGTGTTGATGTGAACAGATGAGAAAGTGTTCAGTTAATAGGTACTTTTTTAAATACCTGTAAGGGTTACTCCTGTTTTTAGTTGGTATGATAGATACAGAAGGACTCCATATAAAATCTTTAGATCCATCAACTAACATACTTTATTGAAAAGCTACTGGGGCAGTCACTGCCCTTCAGAATCTCAGAGGCTTATGGAAGAGACCTGAAGAGAGGTGAACACAGGAATTACATAAGAAATGGGGGGGGGACTAATAAAGACCAATAGTAGATAGGCAAGAGTTCATCACTTCTCTTTGGTCATTTATAAGTGAGGGAACTAAGTGAGGTTTGGTTGAGGAAGGGCTTCATGAAAGCTGTGGAGCAGATAGTTGTTTGTCACCAACCCCTGTTAGTAAAGAAAGGTTTCATGGAAAAGGTGCTTTTGAAAAGGCAGTCCTTGTCATAGCCAAGAAGAGCCTAAGGAGACATAATGACTAAATGTAATCTGGGACCTAGAACAGGAAAAAACATTAGGTAAAAACCTGAATAAGCCATGGTCTATCGTTAACAAACATGTATCAACGTTGATTCATAATTGCAGGAAACATACCCTATTAATTGTGCTATGTGAGCGTTAGGAAAACTGGGATTGAGTATATGGGAACTCTTTGTACCACTCAATTTTTCTGTAAGTCTAAAGCTATTATAAAAACTAAAGCCTATTCAATAATAAAAAGCAGCCTCACAGCCTACAGATTATCCCTGGCGTGGTGACAGGAAGGAGTCAGTTTGACAACGACCCTTTTTTCCAAGAAGTGACTGTTGTTGTTGAGTGCCATGTTTGTGGCTTGATCATCAATTCATATACTGATACTGAGTTCTTCCTGGCTTTCCCATGGCTGATTTTTGGCAGGCAACAGCGGCATTCGTGCACTGATTATAATTTTGAGATGTCTTGTCAGTAACCAGGGTGTATAATGGATCTTCATCTCTAATTACTTTTCCCTCCACAGGTGTCTGGAAAGGGTCCAGATGGGAACGCGCACAACCTCCGCTTTGAGGGGATGGAGAGACAGTACGCATCCTTACCCAGGTACATCACTGAGGGCGTCTCCCATCGCCAGCTCACCTGCAAGTAAAGTCTTTAGAGAAATTTACATACGATAGAAATCCGGCTTTCAAATAGGGAAAATGTTATCATTTTGCCTTTCTGCCGCCTGCTGCCACCATAGTGCCATCTTCACAACTGTGCTAATAATTGAAACACTTGTGGGTTATTTTTTAAGGGAAGAAAATAGTATGTCATTGCAATTGAACATGTCAGCAGGAATATTGGATGCTGAATGGAAATCCTAAGCCGTTGCTATAAAAATGGTATTGAACATCGTGCACCGAGCTTAGAGACAATAAAATAGTAAATCCTCTGTCCTAGGAGGTACCCCCGAGCGAGGGCGAGCCAACCTTAACCTTGGAGCTTCACGTGGGGGTGGAAAAGCAGGAGAGAAATGTGAACCTGGGAAGGTGTCCTTTCCTTGATTTAGAATCTGACCGTATTCTTTAGGAAATAAGCAGATTTTTCTGAGAGGCACAGACACAGTAGGGGAAAGAAACAATGGCGTGGGAAAAGTTCCCTGGGTGATCCTAGCCGAACACGATCCACTTACGTGAAACTGGACACCCCTGAAAATGAGACACGGTTCTCAAAGGTGCGTGCTCTTATCGGTGAGATGAAGCATAATTTTAGTCTGTTATCCCTAGTGCACGACAAAGAGGACACCTTTCCAAGATTACATACAGGGCGGCTACTAGGGGAGGTAAATGAGTTGAGAGTGTGAGAATGAGTGAGTCTAGGGGGGAAAAAAACAAAGAAAGGTTAATGCCAGCCAGCAAACTGAAATGTTCCGAAATATCTCCTTCCAAAAAGGAGGGGAAGATCCTGAGTAGAACTTCTAGGTCGTCAAAGCTGAGTTGTGGAAGCACTAACTCAGCTGGGGTTACCGTGTTGTTGTACATTGGTTACACTTCTGCGTGTGAATTGACAAAGATAACATCCTGAATATTATAATAGGCATAGCCTAAGTGACCATCTGCTCTGATAAATAGGATGTTGATTTTCAAAAGTAATTAAATCTCAGATCTAGCAGAGAACCAGTTTTTAACACTGATTGGGCAGGATACTCAAAATATCATCTTTTAAAAGCTTCTATACCACTGTATTTAATTTACTCCCCTTTTTCTTTTTTTATACATTTCTCATAGTTTTCTCCCATCCTTGATTTCCTTCCTCTCTCAGTTTTTCCCTGGCCTAGTATTTTGTTTTCATTTCAAAAGATGGGAGTAGTCTCCAAAATTTGTTTTAAACATAAAATTTCTGGCTTTCAATGTTGAAGTATATGGAAATTGCGGTTAAGGCAGATGGAAAGTGGTATGTTCTTATGAGAGGGAGGAAAAAAGAGAAAACTGGAAATAGTTTAACGTCTTCCTGGCAAACATGAGTTCAGACTGAGAAAATGGATTTTTTTTTTTGGTATAAATCAAAAGTACAGAAATAACATTGAAAAATTCTATAAATTTCTGTCATTCATTTATTCCCCATATATCACTTGACCATCTGTATATCAGGCCCTAAGAATATGGAGGCTGGAGACACAGTGCCAGTCCATCCTCAGGACCCTACTGTCTAGGACAGGAGGCAATCACCTTTTATGGCAATGCAACAGATGCTTAGATTATTCATTAGTAACAGAAAGTCCTCTGAATTTCCAACACCTATTTATTTTTACTCATTCATGGCTGAAAATCTAAACAAGTCTATTTTAGGATTAAATATTGCGGGAGGATTTTTCTGACAAAGGCAATATATTTATGCTGTTTGTGGCTCTGGAGCTATCATCACAATGTATGAATTGATAAAATCCTGCCAGCCCTGAGAATATAACTGTAGCTGAATGGAAGCATCTTAGACAGAAAACAAATTTGACAAACAGTCCACTCACACACACATATATAAGGGTAGGAGTGATTAGCTGCACTTGCAAACAGGTCTTTGTAGCTACCTGGCAACGAAAGCAGCCATGATAGAGAATGAATAGGGCTCAGACAAATGCAGGCAAGATCCTGGCCCTGGTTTTTAAATGGTGAGGTGGGGGGTCTCAAACTCGAATTTCTATCTCAGTAGCTAAAAGGAAGATGGAAAGCACCCTCAACAATGTGCTCCAATCCATGGAGGGTGTGGGGGGGGGCACTCCATATACCCGAAAAGCTGCAGAATGCAGAGGCAGGGGACGTACTGCTGGCTTCTGAGAAGGTGTGCATACTCAGCTCTGAGCGCCGTGACATTTACCCTGGCATTCTAGTCTTCCAGGCCCTGGGGATTTGACTGTCCACTTAATTGAACCACACCAGCTCTACTGCTCTCTCCCTTTGCTGGGAGAGTTGGGAGAGCCCATCGTCATCAGGGAGGCAGGAAGCTTTCAAATATTTATAGAATTAAATTTTTTATTAAAACTAGGAATAATTCTATCTCCAGCGAGTCGGTGGCCAGTCTTACAAGGGACTTAATATGCTACTGATTTGGTGCCTATGTTGTTTGTGGAGAACATCACAGGAGTTTTTAAGATATACTCAATAATGCTGATTTCTATGCCAAATTTGGAGCCATTAACAGAGAAAATGCTTCCCAGTGGGCATGGAGTCGGTGAGCAGCCCAGGTCAAGGGGGACCCTGCTATGCTTTCATGGAACTTTGTCATCTTTAAAGTAGGCCTGTGCAGCCTGCTGCCAGGCTAAATGACACTTCACAAAAGAAAGCCAGAGCCCTCGCCAGCCCAGCCCAGGAAAAAGACAATTCCTAGCACTTAGTAGTTAGGAGGTTGCCTGAGGCTAAGGGCTAAGCGATGTTAAGTGTTATTGTTAAGCAATGTTAAATCTTCTGCCTCGGAAGAAAAATGACTTGATTTCTTTTCTCCTGAGGGTGCTGTTTTGGAAAGCCGTGGTTGTACTACAACCTCGTTAGCAAACACCAGGCTTTTACCAGGGCCAATGTTTCACCATCCTGTCTGGCCTCAGATTTTCTTTGGTAGTAAACACAATGCAATCAGCATTTCCTTACCCTTGCCTGACACAAATTATTACTCACTCTGGGTAGGTACGGAAAGGCTGTTTCCTCGGCTGCTATAATGTGCGAACACTGATGTATGTATTCTTGCAAGCAGCTTCTTTTCAACTCCAGCCTCACAGCCCCTTGCAGTCCTCCCCAGCCCCATTCTGATTTTACAGGCCTCCTCGTGGTGGTCAGTCCCTTCGGCGGTGAACTCTCCACTCTCCCATCTCAAGCCTCCATCTTTGCCACCTGGCCCATCCTCAGCCCCACGGGATCCCATTATCCATTCTCTGCAGATGGCTTTTCCGGGCTTGTCATCAAGCTAAGGAGTGAGCAGAAAGCCTCCATATCTCTTTGGCGGTCCTACGTACGTGGGCGGCAAAAGATTGCTGGAGAAACTCATAAAACTGCATTCATTGGTTTCCCTACAAAAGTCACATTATCCAGCCCCAGCTGGGCCCGTGCTGCTGCCCAAAGCCTTTTAGTCGTGCTGTCGATTCCCCTGACTACCCCACAGTGGCCTTTCCAACCCTCTTCTACTCCCGTTAAGTTCTATGAAGATGACTAAGCCCCCCAAGTCCCATCTCTAGAGGTGACCTCACTTCCTTTTTTTTATGACCTTGAGACATTCAACATTAGTTCCTCAGCTTCTGCTCCCTACAGTTCAGATGGGCTATGTCTTCATTAACACACACACTTCCCGAGGGGAGAGGATAATGAGGACAGGACTTGCAATCAGGCCATAATTACAGTCCCAACCCTCACTGCTCACCTGTGTGACCTTGGACCAGTGATTTAATTGCTCCAGGCTCAGTTTTTTTACCTGCAAATCGGGGATGATATTAGGGCTTCTGTAGACAGCTGGTATGAGCATTAAATACAATACAGCAGAACCCTTAGTAAAGAGCCTGCCTGATATAGTTTAAGCATTTTTGAAAAATATTGTTAGCTCTTTTTAATTTTATCTCTGGAGAAGACATGTCCCTTTAGTGAATCAAACCCATAACAACAGGGCTTATTCTCACTGGCTTCTCAGGGACCCTGCACCTTCAACTGCCCCTCTCTTGACTCTATCTTTGAGCCCCTTGGCAATTGCTTTCCTCCCCCTGCCTACTACTGTAAATGCAGAGACTCAGCTGCACAGTTTGCTGAGACCCCCAGTGTGTGGAGAAGGAGAGCGCTAACGGCTGCATGGAGGTATGCTGGGGGTATAACTGAGGCCGAAGGATTAGCCACCTCTGGGAAAGGCCCAGTAGTCCAGATGGTCAAGGGCAAGAGGACATAGCAGGCTGAGATGATCTGAATGATAAGCTGTGCTATAGACATGCTAGGAGACACAATTCTTATAGATGGGATACAGGATGCTGACTCGGCTCTAGGCAAGAGCCATGGCCCCTATCCAACAAGACTTAGGTTTGGGCCTAGCATCTCCCCGATGGAGGAGACTATATCCAGTGTGAGTTAACCTGCGAAGATACTCCTGTTGGTGCATGTAGCTATCATGACTCATAGCCAAGCAGGGCTCAGGTGGCAGGACTTGCCCCGTGAACTTGACACTAGTCCATCCTAGGAAACAAAGATCTTCCCTCTACCTTCCTTCCTCCTTCAATTCCCACGTTTCCCACCTTAGGAAAAAGTGGCCTATGCCTTTCGGCTCTGCTTCCGCACCACCTGCTGACACTCAAGCCTCTCGCTCCAGGCTTCTGGCCATGCCACTGATGCTTCCAGCTGTTTCTGCCTCTAGCCCTTTTCTGTATGTAGCTTCTTTCTGAGCAGCCTCCTCCATTCCTACAGACTCGGTTCTCCTCACTGTGATGATGAGTCCAAACTGAGCCTTGCTAATCTTCTTCCAGTGACCCCAATTATAACTGCCTGCTTCCCACAGCCATCCTGCTACCTCCAAGAGACCTCAAAGTCCCCAGGCAAAACCCAAGCCCTCTGTCATCTTTCTTTAGCTATTCTTCCTTTTAACTTCAATAATGTTTGTTAAGT